AGTGTTGAGCCGTCATATATGAGCCGTCATATATGAGTCGTCACACTAGAAGTGATGCACGTGAAACACGTGATAATGACTGAAAGTCCAGCAGATCGAGAGCCCATTGAAGAATCTCGAGTGGCAGACGATCAAGTATGCCAATGGAAGAGTTAGAATGTCGTCGAATTGCTGAACGCTGAGCTGGTTCAGAGATTGTAATCATTCCCTCGAGTATGTGACGAGGTCGATAGGAGAGACATGATATAAGTTTATCTGGCGGCCATGCTTCGCTATCCATCGTCAATACTTGGATTCCTGATGATGGCCGGTTCCAGCCAAAGATTCGATGCAAGGAATACCATATGTTCGGAGACATGTTGGTGAGAGTCAACTTATATAGGAACGGATTATAGATACTCCGTGTGGACAAGGATTCCCAATATGTGGCCAGCATGGCTACGCATTAAGCACTCAAGCACTCATTTTGTCGTGTACTCTAGGCTATGTTTAATAGAGTTCAACACCTTTGTTTAGTTGTCTTAGCATCTACTATATAGCCTCGTGCAATTGGTCCATCGGCTCCCTCGTCTTTTTCCCCTGAGTAAGCGGCCTCTTAGTGGTCACCGGACCGCCCCGATTCCGCTTTGTAGTTAGTCAAAAGGCTGACAGATAACTAATTGATTTTTCTCGCTTTGACCCTTTATACTCTTTCTGTGGGAGATTTACAACCTAATCGAACCAATAGCGGAGATCAAGTATTTTAAGTGGGGCAGCACAATCTTGCACCGCCCCGCTCGCATCTGTTAAATCACGCAATTTTCCGCAGAAGTTCTCATTTTCTTGATTACTTCCCGCAGGATCCCGTCCCCTCACTCTCCCAGGCTTACCATGCAGGTTGGGGATACAATCACCAATGGAAAGAAGAATAAATTGCTAAAGCCTTTGGACTCGCATTCAAGGTTGTATTAGTTCATCACCATCCAGTATAACTTAGGATCAATGAAAGCAACTGTTACGTGGCTTGCACCCATTTTCATGCATGTTGAGACATCTTTAGTTCCATTGTTCTAGGTCTGCCTAGTTGCGTCAACTGCTGACCCTCAAGAAATAACTTCCCTCTTCCGGAAATCATTGATGATCCTTCACTTATTTTTAGCCCACATGTCTTCCTCTTCGGTACTCTCTTTTGGTTGGATGCTTTTGAAGCTCCTAGTCTGACTTCAATGGAACGGCTCAGAGAATTATTAGTTGAAGGTGGCCGCCAGCAAATGCAATTGCCATTGAAGCCAGAGATTGAAGAATATACTACCTCTTCTGCAAGACCAAGATGGTAGATGGGGATGTGGTACTTCAATGGAATCAACCCATGAACAAAAGCACTTTGTCCAGGCGACTGAACAGTCTTGGGTTGATTCATGGCTGGCTTCACTCCATGTTTGCTCACCGATTTCGCTATGGCGGAGGAAAGATGCTGAATGAAAGTGGTTGGTTTTTCAAACAACATCTTATGAAAGTTCAGATTGATATTGATCCTTGTATGTGACAGGAGCCATGAGTGAAGCTCAACAAAATTTCATTATGAAACATGCTGATATTCACACGTTCTTGGACCATTACCTTCCACGTTCCTGACCTTGGACACCTGCCAATTGAGCTATGGCCACCATGGACGTCAATCACCGGATTGTCATCGCAACTGGCTTTACAACAAGCAACATAGATCCATGCTAGTACGACTACGATAACAACTAAGCTTGAAAAGACACAGGAATATGTCAATGAGTTGTCTAAAGACAGTTATGAGCAAGCAATCAAGATCATTTCGAACGGACACTGCGTACCGACGATGTAAATCACATTTCGAATAGATTCTCTGCAAAAGCTGATTATCGAAAAGTGCGGCTCGTACCAAAGAGCTCAAACCATCCCTTTGTGATCCCGGAAAGGTCGAGGGTTTCGAAATCCACATTCCGGAAAGAGACAGTCCACGTCGCAAAGGGACTCGGAGCGGCGTACTTCTGAAGCCCTCCAGCTGTAGGGACAGCCGAAATAATAGCACCGTTGTCCAGGGCGGAAAGTTGAGCACTACCACCATCCGGCGATTGCGACACACGGAAAGACGGTTTGACATCGATGGGATCATGCGTAAATGCATGATAGTTGCCGAAACGGTCATAATAAATGCTATCACCTTCGTGGGTCAGGTTGACATCTAGAACGATGTGATTTCTGGGACTGCGGACATCACGCTGCAATCGCACGCCGTCGAGCCAGAACCGCACGCGATAGACGCGCACATCTGCGCAGCCGCGAAAAGATGACAGAGTATCTTCTGTGGGAGTCGGTGTGGTTGCAGGCAGCTTTATACGTACGTGGCCGTACTTGCGGAGGAATTCGAGGTCTTCTGGAGTCAAGTCGACACACTTTCCCTCATCGTTGTTGAAGTTATGCGGGAACTGCGCAGCATCTGAACCCGCTTTGCTCTCTGCGTCAAACAAGGCTGCATGAAGTCGGCTTTGAGCTGCAGACAAAGCCACTGCCGGAAAGCTAAGGGTGATATCGCTTGTCCCTAACCCGATCTCCTTTGCATCTGGCTTGGTAAGGGTTGCTAGGTAAATCGCTCGACGATAGAGTGAGAGCAATCTCATTGTCCTAGTCCGGTTCCAGAAATAGATATCCGCAGACATCTGCTTCATTTGACTGATTTGCCCAATATCGAGGTGGACAACATTCTTTCGCAACTTTTCCTGAGCTTCAAGAATGGTGTGGAATTGACTGTCGAGCTTGATGAACGCCTTGAGCTGCACATTGTATTGGACTTTCATATCATTGCGCTCCGCGATCATGTCTGCATAGCGCTTCAACGCTTTCTGGACCCTTACAGCTTGAGGGCCAATCTTCGAAGGCAGGAAGTCCTCGACAAATTTGTCAATCTGGGTTTTACTTGCAACCAATAAATCATCCCGCTCTTTATCAAGCACCAATTCTCCTGTGCCGAGGTCTCGCACTTCTCGGCCTTTATTACCTTTGAAAATGTCCGCTAAATTCCCCAAAGCCTTCCTGATCCTGCGAGCAATCAGGAGTTTACTGATTGCTTTGCCCTCCGCGTCGGGGATGGTCGTGACTCCCTCCCAGACCTTGTCGGTGAGCTCACTGCTGAAGGGTTCCCACATCTTCTTCAGCTTCTCAAAATCGATTCCACCGCTTTTTTCTTTCGTTTTATACGTTGGCTTGGGACTATCGGTTGGCTTGGATGGTGTTTCGTCTGTTGTTTTGTTTCCTAGTGCCGAGCTTCCGGCTATTTGACTTATGGGATTCTGATCGTCAGATCTCAAAGAACCAAGCGCCTGATTCTCCGTATTCTGACTAGTGGAGGGCTGATCTGCCGATGGTTGTTCATCTGGCTGTTCGTCGTCATCCTGTTCGTCGTTATCCTGTTCGTCGTTATCCTGTTCGTCGCCATCCTGTTTGTCGCCATCCTGTTTGTCGCTGTCCTTCTTGTCGTTGGGCTTCTCGTCGCCGTCCTTCTTGTCGTTGGGCTTCTCGTCGCCGTCCTTCTTGTCGTTGGGCTTCTCGTCGCCGTCCTTCTTGTCTTTTGGCTTCGACATCAACGGATCGATGCTTGTCTTCTTGGCAACGGTAACGAAAGAGTTTAAGAAACTGTCAAAGCTAATATCAAAGCTGGTTTTAGAGCGATCTATCAGTTCCCGGAGCAGAGAATCTAGCTCATCTGCCCGGCGTGAAAGCTCCGCCACAAATGTCTTACTGGCGATCCTATCTCGAAGTTGCTCCAGCCCCTTGACCCGCTGTTTTTTTTCTTTCCCAAGCTCTTGCAGGCAATCGTGTATTTGATCTATCGTTGATCGTCGTAGGCTTTCATCCTTCTCGACCTGGTCCAACTGTTTCTCCATACGCAGGTAAAGCATTTCGGTCTTTTCAAGCGCCTGAAGGGAGAGCTTGGTCTCACTCTCAAATCTCTCGACAGACAAACGTGGCACCCAGTTGTGCGCGCAGTCGAACACATCGTTTGATGTCTGGGTTGTTTGGGCAAACATATCTGACGCTTTGCGAGCAATTTTCTGGAGTTCCAAGACGGGATCGGACATTGTTCGGGGGATGCCAATCCACTCTCGCCGATCCTCATATGCTTTCTGGAGAGACTGGATTCTGATTTCTTGCGGCTTTTTCTGATCCTCTGGCAGCGCTTTATATTCAGCGGAGTTCTCGTCCGGGACGTCGATGACTGCATGTATCTTTGCAGACAAGCGAGAGAGAATCGATTTTGCACGGTCAATGCACCCTTGATCACCGATATAGAGGAGAGCGTACGCCTTTTCAATCTGCATCTGACACTGCAGTGGATGAAGAGGTGCAAAGGACAAAGGCCCAAACACCTTCAAATCATCCACCGTCTTGACATAGGCCGTACCGTCAACACCGTGCTTTCCTTCAATGCCGCGCTGGCCTGCAGACTGCCCAGCTGACCCCCCATAACCCCGTGAGGAATCAACTGATCTGCTCAAAAAGATCCCATGGGCATTCACGGCCCGTTGTGCATCTTTCACCGCTTGATTCAGGGTCCTGTAAACACTTCCTCTGGTGTGCCCGCCATCAGGAACCAGCAAAGGCGACAATGAATTGATAATATCTTTCCTCAACAAGTCATCTTTGTCGCAAAGACGCTCAATCTTCACAATAATGCCGAGGATGCTACTCAAAACTGTTGCTTTTGGTGCTTCACTAGAAATCAAGGCCTTGGTGTCTTTCGGTAACTTCTTTTCAACCCGAACCATCGCAATGACATCGCGTAGGTCCTGTAGAATGGGAGTCCATGTGGATAAGTATATGACTTCCACCGAGCCCCCTTGGCCGCCCGAACCAGCAGCATAATCGATCTCGATGGTAGTTCCACCATGTCCTCCACGAGCTTCATAGTTGATCTCCAGTGCCTTTGAAGGGGCCTGGCCCACGAATACATTAAGCTTATGTCCAGGTTTGCCATTTGTCTTCTCACGGTCCGCCTCCGTTCCAGTGGTATTTGAATCTCCATCTTGACCACGAGCACTTACAACAGCAGTGTTAGATTCGTCTCGGATGAATAAATCGGTTGTGCTTAGGGTGACCTCTTCCGCTTCTGTGGATCCGAACGTCATGTTGTCAGGCCTGTCAATATCCCCCAAAGTGACTGACTCGGCGAAGATGCTGACGGCTTTGGAATAGCCATTCTTGACCGAACCCACGGTTTCACCTTTGCCCAAGACCACGCCATCTTCCAAAGCAGACAGAACTGTATATGACTTCCCGGGTCGGTCGATCACTTTGTAGAAGCTAGAGCCCGAAAGCGGCTCTCCGTGGTCCATGATGAAGGAATTAGATAGATGTCTATCTTTTTGTGTTCGTTCTAGCTGGACGATAACCAGATTAAGTAAGATTGAAAACGAAGGTCTGGGGGGGTTGCCGGGCGTTAGAGAGAACAATAAGTAATAGCGCAAAGACAGCTTTCTAGCCCTGGAGTAAAATGCTCTCTGTTCTTTCCACGTCACCATTGCGCCGATCATTCTGCTTTTGGATGAGAATGCATCTGCAGGATGCACCTTTCAGCTGAGTCTTATTGTGCCGAGTTTCAATTAGCATCATGATTCTTTGACCGCTCCAATCATCCTTCATGATCTGCAAGAATTGTGCATACCAACACAATAGATCACACTGGTTCGATGTTCACCGCGTCTGAGAAGGGCACTGGCGACAGCCATCACGCAAACTGAATTTGACTAATGCAAGATGTACATGTGAGGATATTCAAGGGGCGGGGAAGCTGAAACCAATGCTGCCGACCTTGTCTGCATCCATTATACATGTGCAAAGCTATATATCGACAACCATACGTGCCCCTCTTTCTATTGAATCATTCATCTAAGATCTTATTTCCTTCTGAAATTTTTTTCTCCCAACAATACGTGCAATTTTGGACAGCAAAGATGGCTGAAATTACTTTGGATAAGATGGTTCAGACCATGGCGAATGCCAGCTCCCCCTCGCCAGACAATGGTTGGACACTGAACTGGGACGTAGTTGTATCCTATTCTGAGAAGGATATCAACCAAGTGCTTTACAAAGCTTGGGAAAAGGTACTCTAACCTGCAAACAAAGCTGGCTGGACGATTCACTGACAAGCATATTATGGGGAAAGCATAAGGATCAAATGCTTGCCAAAGTCCACGCAGTCGCTGAGATACCACCTGATTCAAGTGACGAGGAGGATGACGATCAAGACGATGGCGATGAAAGTGACGGTGGACGAGAAAAGCGGCGAACCCGTATTTACGACGTGGAACTAGGTGCCCCACGTGTTGAATTTTCAGGTGAAGCCACACTGCCGGCTGTGCATCTTAAGTTTCCGCTGAAGACAGGAAGCTACTGCCGTTCTGATGATTTAGAAAAGAAGTCACATCTTCCTGAAAACGGATATGTGTTCACCATTCGCAATATTCCCCTGGGTACAGTAACGGGCACGTATGAAGAGGTCAAGAACAAAGACGACCTTGACATAAAAGGTGACTGTGTTTTCAAGAAACGCCCGGAGAACACCAAAGAGGATGACTATGAGGTTTCTTGGGTTGTGATGGATTTTAAACTCAGTGGAAAAGACCTCAACGTGCAGGTTGAAAAAAGCTCTGGTGATGATCCTACTCCTAAACGCAAAAATGCTATCAGTCGAAAATTCTCGCGCGCCAAAGAGTTTGCCGAGGCTTTCTTCTTAGGAACTTCAGAAGGGGACTTCCAGAGCAGGTTCAGAGTCATTCGACATGCTCTGGCAACAGTCAAAAACAAAGATCTTCCGAGACAAAGTGGAGTTACTGTCGACCTGACCCCCAAATCCTTCCGCTTGGCTACTTGTGCAAGCAATTCTATTGTCAAGGGCTCCATTTTGTCATTATTCATCCATGTTGTGGATGGGAAAGATGCTGGAGAGAAACGCGACTTGCAAACACGATGGCGAGGCCAATGGGTCAGTGTATCACCGAAAATACCACCGATCCCTGCACCATACACGGCCTCTATTCTCATTCATCCAGCGCTATTATTCGAGAAAGTCATTAAAAACAGTGTCCTGACAAATACAGGAGAGCAAGGGTGGCAAATAAATCGGCTCACTGGTGTTGCGGGTGGCGGCATCGCCTTTCATGCCACTTGGCCAAGGACCATCGCTCAGGAAACTTTCTACATCGAACTCCCGAAAGAAGACCCTGAATGGCTCGAAAAGATTAGTGGCGCTCCCTACTTAGAGGTTGAGGGTTGGGGAAAGGATCTGACAGTATGTCCTACTTGTTCCGCTTTTTGGACAGTTAGTGGTCAGAGCGAGCCCGCTGACAATTAGCAGCAAATCCCAGCGACTATCCATCTATATCAACAGGTAAGGAGTCTTGCTCTGAGATTTTTACCCTTTCCATTGATAATATTGATTTCTCTCTATAAAAAGGACTTTAAGTCACAGCCAGTGGCCCACGTTGAGTGGAAGTTTTCCGTTGAATCTCAATGGCAAAAGCTGTATAGATACAAGAGCGGACGTAATAACGAGGGTTCTAGAGGAGAGAAGATGAACGTATGTTGTATAAGCTGTTTTCCTTGATTTTCATCGGACACTAACCACTCTGAGACAATGAAGAACAAAACGACTTTCTCAATCGATTACAAATTCCCTTTGGTGTCCAAAATGACCGATTACGACGTTACTTTTAGCATTGATGGCAATGAGATAGAAGATAAAAGCTCCATGACAGACAGCTGGCTACATTGGAAGTCCAACGGTTACATTCCTATACTGGAGGATCTTGAGCAGGAGCTGCAGCGACTTGGCAGGGGCATCTTTGGTGGGGAAAGCGCTGCGGGAACAAAGGTCTTGAAAAAGCGTCATGAAAAGATGAGAGAGGTGCTACCGAAATTCAAGTTTGGGACCATCGGTTTGGGATTCTTCCTCACTACAAACCTTTTGAATCCTGGTGCCCAATTGATCGATGTCGACAAAAAAGCCGGCATGCGTCTGCCTGGAAACATGATAGTGGTTGGTAAAGTTGTCCAGGGCGAAGACAAGGAAAAGAAGGCTCGTGGATAAATGGCACGCGATATTGTTCATCTCGCAAGCTGCATCTATCTAGGACCGCAGCATGAAACAAATTCTGCCAGGAAAGTTGCAGCCGAAACCGTTTATTTAAATATAGACACAAGATTATACCTTTCGATATAGAACTTTTTGATGATATTCATGATATTTATTTTGTCTAGATTGCAGTGGCTCTCAAGAGAGAAGATGTTATTCGCTATTTGATCAGCAAAGGAGCAGATGTGAGCATCCAAAATTCCAAGGGCCAAACAGTTTTACAGTGTGCAGATGAACACACCACGGAAATCATTCAGGAGATGCAGAACAGCAGTGTGTTTCAGGCCTCTTTGTGATTTTTATGGATTTTCGTGTACTTTTTTTTGAATCTATAATTGCGAGCGTGGAAGTTTTTAAGATCAACATTGTTTACTCCGTACTCTCCAACGGCCATCGCCGATCGAGATTTCCGATGCTTTTCCGGAGACACCCGAAGGGTCTAGACTGCTTAGTTTTGGAATGGAAGTGTGTGTTATTGGTTTGGTGATCTCTCGGGCGATAGCTACTACTATGAGCGAGGGCGCCAAGCCGACGCCTGACCGACTAGGTACTAACATTATGGGTGGTTTACCTCATTGCAAGATCAACTCATGCGATGATCCACATGGACTTGACAACACCCAGCGGCAAATGCAGCGTTCTTATCCGTGTTGTTGTAGCCTTCTAGTTGCTAGTTCAGCCCCTATGCGGACATTCATTTCGTCTGGGTGCATGGAAGACTGTTCTCCGGCCAATCATGAGGAGTAAGAGAGGCAGTATTTCTGAACTGTTTCTGCCAACTTAAGTTGGGCGATTGACCTTCTCATCTACTATGAGTACATTATAGAGTTTGCCGACGGTTAAGGATGAAAAAAACAAAGCTGAAACACCATGTCACATTGAGGACTAAAAATAGGATGCTACTATTGTGGGGTTTATTTTATTTTTTTTTTTGGGAGACTGAACAAATCGGTGAACCGTTTATACAATTATACAGCATCATTTCAGCTGCGCGACAAGAGCAACATCCTCACTTGCTCTCTGGATGAGGAATTCAGCCAACTCTGTGTCTGGTGCGACAAGGGTCGTAACACAATACTTGCAGGAGATGGAGGAAATTTAATCATAAACAAAATAAAAGAAAAGAAAAGTAGTTCTAGCACATCACTCAATCCATCCAGAATTTGAACAGATGCGTGTGAAGCCATACTTTTCTTCCAGCCATTGCCCTTCATATATCTCTCGACAATCAAGACAGCTTGTCAAGCAGTCATTCTTTGACATATAATGTGTGCTGGTAAAGACACAAGACTGTAAGACTGACTTCTATCATGTGGAATACCAGTTATCTTTATTCATACGCTATAAGATATTTACAGGCTTTTGTTCAAATTAGAAAGTGTCCCCCTCTCTTACCTTGATTTCTTCATCCAAGTTGGTGGCAAAGGGATCAAGAGGAGCAGCTTTCTCAAGCTCCTGGGCAAAAGGAGTTGTTGAAAAACTTCGCGAGCTATATAGAAAGTACTGCAAATTTATTAGTGATTGGTTTTTATAGACAGGAAAGAAATGATACTAACCTTGGCAAGTTTCCCCCCTAGCCACAAGCACCGATATATCCTGGAAGTTCTCAATGAAGGCACTTCAATCAAGCGTCCATCATCCTCTGGTATGGCATCTTTGAAGAAATTGACAGGGAAATAACGCTGACTCCAGACCTGGCCACGAATGAGAAAATCCTCTGGCATATTCTTCCTATTCCCAACAACAGGAAATTCGTCGCAATTGATAACACTTAAATCAGTGTCATTGCGGATCATTCTGTTGAGAAAAGTGGCAATCTTGCTCCACGGAATGACTAAATTGATATGTCCCATGTTGTTATTTAGCTCCATGCACCAGAAAAATGCCAGATAGACATGCACGGCTGGATAGACATGCTCATTGCCAATCTGATCCAGGATGACAGAGAAAGCTCCAAAAGCAAGACAAGAGCCATAGTAGATCATATTTGAAGATACACATTCCTGTTCTTCTCCTTGCTGCTGTTGCTGCGGAAAGTTCTCTTCAAATTTAGAAGGCAACTTTGCATCCATTGATCCATATTCAAAGATGGCAGCGAAATTGCATGATGCCATGTAGGCTCCATGGATTTTGAACTTGGTGCCAAACTCGTCGATGTATCTCTTCAGATGGGATAGATAGACTTGCACAGATGTCTGAAGATCAGAGATAGGGCCTTTCTTGAAGAGACATCCATAGACCTGGCCTGGCCCACGGGCCGCCCATTGGGCCGGCCCAAAAACCCGCCCATGGACGGGTTTGGACAAAAGTCTTCGGCCCATGGGCGGGCCGGGCATGCTTTGTCCAGACCCAATGGCTCATGGGCTGGCCCATTTGGCCCAAAATGGGGCAAAATCCAGCTCGCATGTGCCTTGCATAAGTTATCCCTCTTTTCTTGTAATTTTCACTGTATCAGCTTTACAAGAAGAAATCATACTGAATCAGTACAGAAGGTAACAGTTATATTTGAATTTATATACAACATATTGTTTAATTTAAACCTCATAATCAGCAAGCCATCTTGATCGCTTTCGAACCCTTCCTGATATCCTCTGGGTTGACTGCTGAGGTAAATCAGGCTCATTATTTGATTTGGATGAATGTGAATCTTGGGATGAAACACTTATTTGCCTCTTTCTTCCC